AGCACTTTGCCTAGTAAAAAGATCGATAATATGTAAATACTAGCACGATTTCTCAAAGTGATGAAAATCAGGGGCAAAAACATCATTGAAGGAAGAGGCATGAGAGAACCCTACTATTGGTTTATTAGGTGGCCTTCTGAGCTTGACACACGTCTCGCAATCAACACATACTTTAGGCAGAAAGTCAAGTGACCGTTTGCTCAGCGTTCTACCATGGCTAGAATTTCTCAACAGTGATTTTATTCGTTCAAAGGATGCATGATCAAACTGCAGGTGTAACTTTGTGAAATTTTCACAAGATTTTTTGTCAGATTTGTCATCCCAGATTAAAGAACTCACAAGAACAATTACAGAATGTGGCAAAAGACTACCTTGGAGTTTCTGGCAATTCAGGGGTACAGCGTAATGTCCGCTAGAGGTCTGAAAAACGTCAATAGGCTTCCAAACATATAACTTTTGTCGTTCTCCAGATCAAATTGAGTTATAGTTCTTTTCAGTGATGTTTTACTGAGAAGCAGCGGTATTTTTTGGTCAACGACTTCAACTTCAATTTTACACTCCACTACACCTATTTACCAATGTACAATACTTTTGCGAACGAAATAACAGGTGGACTGTCACCAAAACGAAAAGGAACTTCACTTTACTCACAGATAACAGACTCTGAAGAAAACTTATCGGTAAAAACCGACAATCATTTGCTTCCGCAGACAGTTTTAGACCTTGCTGTGTCAATAATTGCTGCAAGATCTGCTTCTGCAACATAAACTTCATATTGCTTCTCTAGCGGTACTTCATTCATCAGTAAGATGTTGACACTTTCATGTGCGTCGAAACCTTCGCCCTCTTCATTGTTAAAACTCTTGGTAGTGTCAGATTCTGATAAATTATCACTTTGAGACCCATGTGGACAACCTTTTGCATAGTGGAAAATGAATCGCAAGTTTTGCATTGTGTAACATAGCCATTATTAACGGGATTTCGTCCAATCAGTTTATGCTGGAAACGTCCTCGCTTGTTACCTCTAAACTTTCAACCCCCATGCTAAATCCTGCCCTAAAACTATTTCTGACGCCTATAAATATCATGAGAATGTCAAAACATTAAAATACCAACAAAGAATTCTGGATGTGGAACACAGCAGCTCTGTTCCATTAACTTTTGCGTGTACCGGAGGAGCAGCACCTGGCTCTGCAAAAACATCCAGAAACTAGCAGAGAGACTAAGCGAAAAACAGAACGAATCATACTCAGACACAATAAAATTCATAAGAGGAAACACAAGTTTTGCACTTCTAAAGAATGCAATCCTCTGCCTTAAGGGGTGCAAAAATCTTAAAAATACATCCAACATAGACAATTCTATCTGTGCTATAATCGAGGAGGGTAGATTTTAATTGACAATTCTCTTGATGCATTAATATCGACTTGATTTATTCATAAAGTTTTGCCGATGTATTTATATAGCGTTGGCACGGCCCTATTCAACCTCTGCACGTACCGTCGCATGACGGAAGGGCCCATTTTAATTGACCTTTTTTTTCTAAATGGAGGTTTGAAACCGCGGCCACGATAACCTGATGTGCAACTTCCGGCAAACATAACTTCTTCTTTCACACAAGACAGATCGGTCACGACTTGATTATAAAGTCTCTCCATGATAAAAACTTTTGATCTTTGCAAGCTGTGAGAGCCATTTTTTTTCTAGTTTCATCAAGTAAAGCATTGTCCAGGAGTTTAAACACAAGAACTGCATCTGGTAACTCGATATTATACTTTTTCGCGGTATCATACTTCTGCTCAAAACCGATAACATACTGCATCATACCAGTGTTTTCTTGACGAGTGTTCTTATTGAAATCGAATAAGCAGAATCAGCCAAATCATCGGAGTCTTTTTCGAATAATTTGTCTAGATCTTCACTCCATCATGTATTGTAACGGGTTACATCACTTGACATAAGAGCTTCTCAAGCTGAACCAGTCAGTGTAAGAGCAACAGCTAATGCTCTCTAAGACGCCTGCAGATCTGTCAAAGTCTGCCACATGGAAATTTCTGTTTTCCACTCTTCATAGGATGGTGCACTGCCGCTGGGTTTTTGAAGCCAAACATCGAGGATACGAATGTTAAAACGGATGCCAATGTTAAAACGAATAAAGATACAAGACTGATTTAAAACGCACCAGCGGATATGCTACAGTACTGCAAACATACACACTGAAAAAGATATCGGGTTTACAAGAATACAACAACAAAAAAGATCAACAAGAACTACTTGATCCGAAGAAAAACTATCAGGCACACGAAACAGTACAAAATCTGGAATGGTTTCGTTATCGAAGTTTGCTCGGAAATTTGATTCTCAGGAAAATGCTATCAAAGTAATTGAAAAGTAAAGATTTTTTTGCTAAAAGTAAATTTCAAACGTTTTCGCAACTATTTCATCGTCAGGATTTTTACATTAAACTGAACTATATGACAATAATACATCAATTTACAAACCTTATTTACAATAATCCATATACATTTTGGTTCTAAACCATCATGTTAAAAAATGGGCAAATCACAGTTGACCTCTAAATTACTATTAAGATTAAAATACTTTTAACCTCTAAAAATAATCAAACAGTTTTAAATTAATTTGTCTGGAAGTTTCTGAGTCATAATTTCGATTTAGACATGTACGTTTTAAATAAAAAGCCAAAAATATTTTGGGACTAAATTTTTAGTGTTAACTCCTTGCTCTTAAACTCATCGCGCGTGTTCAAGCACGGTTTCTTATTCCTGATATGTTTTGCCTCTAGTGTTAACAATTTTGTTTGGTTGTTTGACCTATCTATAATTTCTCAACTAAGATCTGCGCTTTTTCCCTCAAGTTGGCATTGCTGAAGGTGGAGGCCTACCGGTGAGTCTGCTTTTTTATCCTTCTCCTTGTTCTTAGCGCGGCAGCACTTATCACAGTACCATCTCGGTTATTGATTCGTATACGTCATTGGATGTTTTTCCGCATTTTAGATGATACCAGTTTCGGCAACTCTCGCATTCAACTCCCTTTGATCTATATGTGACCTTCCTGCTGCAACATGGGCACAAACCGTTTTTGTCATTAATTTGCTGTATCTCCGTTCCCACCGGTATTTCTTGTCCTTGAGCAAACTCGTACTCTTTCAGCCACAAGTTTGCCAGAATTACAGCGAGGGACGCGCCCATTGCTAAACCATCAACTTGCACATATCATGAATCATTACACTTGAAATATACCGATCTAAGGAGTAATAATGGTAGCAAAATTGCTGTCATCTTTTTTTTGCAGGCCAGGAGCACGTAAACTCATATGGCTCTCAGCAAATAAATTTATAATAAAACAAATTTGCGAATGTGGCGAAATTCGAATACTCAAATCCTTTTAGTTTTCGAGTTGCGACAATCGTTATGTTAATTAATGGATCTGTTTTTTATGTTTTCAAATTCGGGCGTCATCTTTTGCCATGTTTAAGCTTTTCCATCGTAATATTTTTGCAAGTTCAACAATTTTTTTTTTCGTGTTTAAGCGATAGCGTATATTACTCAAGTTGGCATTGCTGAAGGTGGAGGCCTACCGGTGAGTCTGCTTTTTTATGTTCCTCAATTCTATTGATCAAATGACGAACAGTTTGTCGGACATAGATGGAAGTGTATCCACTACATGACAGTTTATAAACCACTCTTGACTTGAGGTCATTAGAAAATGCTGACTTCAGTGATGGTAAGCATGATTCTAATTTTCTTGTGGTGAAAACCACTTAACTTTAGTTAATTTTCATAACCTGTTAGCAAAATATTGGCTTTGCTTACCTCTTTATTGCACCATGAGCATTGGGGGCTTCACATCCGTTGGCGATTGAGTTGACAAACACCTTTAGCTATTCAGGGGCTTGCCCTTACCCCCGATGGCTTTGCCCAGGGCGTCTGCCGTCACCTTTGCGGACCAATATTCAGGGTACTGATTTGTCGGCCATTGCGCCCTATTAGTTTCCATAGCCTTATCAAATTGCTCCCAGCTAGATGTACTCCTAAATACCCTGTGTACAGTGCCTTGGATAACACTACGCTTATACTGAGTTGGGGCGCAGCATCTATAGTTCAGTATAGACCCATTATCTGTTGGTTTTTGATACCAACGGCAAGTTACACCCCTACCCTGCGATACATTTATGTTCATATCCAGAAACGGCAAATTCCCCTCCGAATTAGTTTCCTCTAGAGTGAACTGCAGATTTGGATGAAGAGAATTGGCGGCATCGAGAAGACAACTCGGCTCCCCTCTGACTGTTCTAACAATGTCATCAACAAACCTGAGGAAAAATTTCACCTGGGAAGTATCCTTCTCCTTGTTCTTAGCGCGGCAGCACTTATCACAGTACCATCTCGGTTATTGATTCGTATACGTCATTGGATGTTTTTCCGCATTTTAGATGATACCAGTTTCGGCAACTCTCGCATTCAACTCCCTTTGATCTATATGTGACCTTCCTGCTGCAACATGGGCACAAACCGTTTTTGTCATTAATTTGCTGTATCTCCGTTCCCACCGGTATTTCTTGTCCTTGAGCAAACTCGTACTCTTTCAGCCACAAGTTTGCCAGAATTACAGCGAGGGACGCGCCCATTGCTAAACCATCAACTTGCACATATCATGAATCATTACACTTGAAATATACCGATCTAAGGAGTAATAATGGTAGCAAAATTGCTGTCATCTTTTTTTTGCAGGCCAGGAGCACGTAAACTCATATGGCTCTCAGCAAATAAATTTATAATAAAACAAATTTGCGAATGTGGCGAAATTCGAATACTCAAATCCTTTTAGTTTTCGAGTTGCGACAATCGTTATGTTAATTAATGGATCTGTTTTTTATGTTTTCAAATTCGGGCGTCATCTTTTGCCATGTTTAAGCTTTTCCATCGTAATATTTTTGCAAGTTCAACGATTTTTTTTTTCGTGTTTAAGCGATAGCGTATATTACGATGCTGCAGAAATTTACGATGCTGCAAAAACTATGCTTAGTTTTTATTCCTCAGTGTATTTCAGTGTTGCTAGGTTACGCAGGGGTTGCAAATTTTGCGTCCATTTGCGACCGCTCAAATGCTTCTAGCTTACAACTTGGACAGTTTTTTTTAATAATCTGAAATTTTTAACCCTGTAATTTGGTGCTGGCTTCGTACTCTCAGGAGTTGGAAATCTTGACTCCAAATGTCTGCGCAAGTGCTTTTAGTATCCGATTGTGCCCTTTTTTTGCTTTTTCGGGGGAGTCAAATCTTGCTTCCCATTATAATTGCTCAAATGCTATAAGTTTCCGAGAGATGTTGTTTTTAATGATTGTTTCAAACATTTTCAGATAACTTGGATTTTAAAAATATGCATTTTCCAACCCTTTAGTTGAGTGCTGTCAGTGTACTCCAGGGGTGGCAAATCTTGCCTCCATATATGCCTGCTGAAATTCTTTCATTTTCCGAGCTATGACTTTTTATATGGCTTCTATAAAGTTCAAAAAACTTAGATCTCGATTTTGAAGTGTAATTGATAAACGATTATTCGTGGATGCGTTTGAAAATAGGGAATATGTTGCAGTTTTTGAAATAGTTCTGTTTTATTTTTCGTAGTTTTCTTCATATGATTTATGTAAGCGAGTTTCATTTCACGCTAGTTTCATTTAAGTTTATTTTGGAATGAGCACGAACATCACGACGGAAAAGGTATCGGCTGACCAGGCTTCAAAATTTAATGGATTTTCCAAGCCAACTTCAATTCGGCCGTTAACTTCTTCAAACCAAATATCAAGATATGATAATCCATCTCGGTGGATTTTCAATTCTGAGAGATTAGCTGAATTTCCTTCAGTGAATAAAAGCTACGCTGATTTGTCCGATAGACAGTATCGGCAGCAGGCAGCGAACATGATACAAGATATGAGCAAATCCCTTGCTATACAGCCGCTGGCTATAAACACTGCCATAGTGTATATGCATCGTTTTTTTGTATTTCATTCCTTCGATCAGTTCGATCGCTTTCTTGTAGCCGCATGCTGCGTTTTTTTGGCATGTAAGGTTGAAGAACAACCGCGAAAGTTAGAGCACGTCGTTCTTATGTACTGCAAATGGCGGAAGATGCCAGAGAAAGTAGCAAAAGGAGAAGAACAACGAAAGCTAGTCCAAGAGTTTATACTCCATGAACAGTTATTAGTGGAAACCCTTGGATTTGACGTCCGAGTTGAACACCCACATTCCTCTGTTATTAAAATAACGGAGAAGATTAAAGCCAGTAAAGATCTGGCTCAAACTTCGTATCTTCTGGCAACAAATACACTACATCTGACAACATTTTGTTTGCAGTATACGCCCGTTGTGATAGCATGTGTTTGCATAAATCTAGCTTGTAAATGGGGCCACTGGTTAATCCCCAAGTCCAATGAAAAGAAAGATTGGTGGCAATACTTTGCTCCAAGTGGTTTTACGCAACAAAAGTTGGATGAGTTGACAGATGAGCTAGTTACCATTATTGACCAGAGTCCAGCAAAAATGAAAGAGCATCTCAAACGAAAATGTTTACCTGGAAAATCCTCTTGCGCTGTTTCGGGAAATCAGAAAGAAACGCAGTCTCAAACACCGTCCGGCCTTAAAAAGTTGGCATCACCTAATTTGAAACTAGGACTGAAGACCGCATCAAATGCAGCTCAATCAGTAGGCCCCGAAATTGGCACTCCTAAAGCAGAGACCGCTAACGAAGTTCATGCGTCTGCGACTCAGGAGGTTGTAAACGACATGGTAGACTCTTCTTCCGAAGTGAAATTGTGCAAAACAGAACCATCTGGCGAAGCAGCGGGTTCAACAGAAAGCAAAAGAAAACAGCTCTCGCTTAGTCAGTACAAGGAGCGCATTACATCCCAGAAAAAATTATCAGAGACAGCAAATACCTCGCCATGTGTCAAAGCTGAAACGCTCGATCTACCACTCGATGAAAAGGCGTCGAAGCAAGTTGATACTCCGAAGAAGAAAAGCTGTATCCTAGACGAGACGATGAGTCCAGGCACGGACGCCATAACAAATCTCCTGAAGGCTTCGGCCTTGAAGATTGAATCATCTAAGCTAAGCATTGAAACTCCTGTTCGGGATGAGAAAAACTCGAGTTCAGATTCGATAAGTCCGGGAGCCGAATCGATTGCATTGTTAATTACCGGATCTAAAGTACAACCTATTTCACAAGAAACTGATGGAAACTTAACCATCACAGCAGAAGTGAATGCTTCTTTATTAGAACCGGCTGTTAAAGTTGAACCAGATCGTGAACCTGTTTTAAATGTAGTGAACAGCTCCCAAGAGATCAATAATTTACTGAAATGTGCAACAAGTGTTGTCGCAACGTCTTCAACAAACAGCGGAATATATTCTATCATAAACAGTGAATCTGGGAAGTTTTCGAAAAAGAGCAAAAGTCATAAAGATAAAGACAAGAAAAAGAAAACCAAAAGTAGCAAGCACGATAAGAAAGATAAGCCCAAAAGCGAGCGCAAAAGTTTGAGAGATGAAAGCAATGGCGGGAAATCTTCAGAAGAAAGCCAGGAAACTTATTCGAATTTAAAAATAAAGTTGCGGTTGAGTCCGAAAGCAGAAGAGATTGAAACACCACCTCCGCCACCTATCTCAACTGAAAATGCATTGTCTCTTTCTTCTAACTCCTGTGTTTTGGAAGTTCTGCGTCCAGAGGTTAATAGCACTACAAGGCCATCTCTACCTGTCTTGAACGAACCAGCGGTTGCGCCTATAAAATTACCTGGAAGTCTCGGATCGCTTCTAGAAAGCAAGCGAACAGAAATAAGTAGCGGCGAGGATGAAGCCGCTGCAAGGAAATCAAGTAAAAAAGCCAAGAAAGCGCATCGAGAGAAGTCAGAAAAGAAAAATAAGAAAAGGGACCGAGGAGAGCTAGAAGATGAAGAAGAAAACGGTGAGCAATATCAGTCGCACAAACATCACAAAAAACACAAAAAGAAAGCGAAAAGTCGACGCGAGGACAGAGAAGACGATGAGACACCCGACGCAGCGCCTTCTGGTAGTCTTAAACTCAAAATAAAACTCAACGGAGCACACCTCTCCTCTCATTTAGACCAGTCCACCGAATCTTTAGATGATCAGCGGCTTCGGATGCCAACTGATTCTCATTCCGTATCTAATATTGACACACAGTACAAAGAAAGTATCTGTGTAGAATCATATCAACCAGCACATAAAAAGTTTAAATCACTGTTGTCAGACTTACCCATGCCACCTCCTCCACCCTCTTAACCAACTGGATGTCATGAAAATTTGTGATGAAACTCGAAACTTAATAGTAGATAATAATTCAAGATGATTTACGAAAGATTTCTCATTACGTAAATTTATTGTTATTTTGCGCTGTTTTGACCTAACCCTAAGTATTAGTTTTTATCTAATTGCATAAACGAGTTTGTGCAAGAATAAGTGCTGGCTGTGGGTGATTCATTGCTCATTTTGATCAAATTAGTTACTAGCATATGTTTTAGTTATTCTTTATTAGCTAGACTATTTCTCGAGTTTACGGGTGCCATTAGGAAGTCAGAACGCTAATGTATAACTCAGCATTGGCAAGTAGCAACTGTTTACTTCTTTGCGCTTTCAATCGGAGCGGTGTTCGGCAGGTAAGGCAATAGCTTTTAAGACAAGAGCCATTTTTGATGGGATTTTTAAGACGACGCTACACACCTTTTTTCAGCTGTGTTTCTGAGAAGTAGAAACTGCTTAAATTCTTAACGCCCATTTGTCGTCTCAATTTCATGTTGTTTCTTATTTCGACTAATCATTTATTGAAGTTGATCAAGTTGTTGACAAACTGTGCGATAACTCCCTCAATTAGGGAAGCTCGACCCAAGACTAAGAGTCTTTTTACACCTGTCAATTATGCGTCATTCAATGGCCGAGTTTTTCGCAGGGGATGTAGTGATTACCATGAGTGCCTTTTAGCTTGTGTTAATTGCTTTAAGGGGTTGCGCTTTCAGACGAAAAATAAACTAGCATAAAATTTCAATTAGTTCCGACACTCACTTGATTTTTAAGGGGAGTTATAAGGGGAGAATTAGAAATTTGGCTTAAAAGCTTATTGTTCAAAATTGCAAATATGAGTAAGCAAAACGTGAAATGGAGAATCTTCAAACAACATTTCTTTACATTTTAATTGTGCAAGGCATTTCAGCAGACCGGATTTTTAGCAGACCAATCTGTTCGCAGACTCAGAACAATTATGAAGTCAGACAGCTAACTTCAAACGCAGCATTGATGATTAGCGACCGCTTGTTCCGCTGGGCTTCAATACAACACGAGTGTTTTTGTGCGCGTAAATCTTTGTTTTGCCGCTAATTTAGACTGTTTTGTGGTGGAAGCCCTCATGCGCGAAGATACAAATCAGCCAATCAGATTTCAGCAATCTAAAATTTGGAAAGAAAGTAAACATTTCCAGGGACTGGAGTATTGATATTGGTCGAATTTAAAAACGGCAGAAATATGCAAAATTTTCAAATTGTCATTGACCGCCGCGAAATTGGGACAAATTTTATATTTCAAGGGTTTCGTAATGAAAGATATTGCTTCATTTACTTCATTTCAATTAAATGGCAATTACTTCTTTTTAAAAATTGACTTTCGGCTAAATTTGTGTTCGATAGCCCCCTGTTTTGTTTTTAAAGTTGATAGTTTTGTTTACAAATCGTGAGATAATTGTCTTAATTGGGGAAGATTGGTCCAAGACTGAATGTCTTTTTGGGTGTCTGGCAACCAATCATCCATTACTTCATTACTTTGGTCTGCTAAAAGACTCATTTTTTACTTTTTATGCTAAAAGATTGCAGACCAACGTAAATCAACCGACGCATTAATAGACAGGCGTAAAAAGACGCTTAGTACTGGGTAAAGCTTTCCTGGTTAAGCAATTATCTCACGGTTTGTCAAGAGGGTGGGTATTCAAAAGTACCAAAATGATAAATCAGTCCCATTGGTACCGAAATAAAAAATCAATCGCGGTAGTACCAAAAATATTCAATTGGCCTAAGACTATTAAGCCGACTACTTTAAGCCTTTGGCTTAAGGTCGCCGGTGGGCGCGCGTCGCCGCTTCGCGGCGATAACCGGCTCTAATTTTTGTATAGAGTCCTACCCTCTGTTGGCAAGCTCGCAACACGTTGGCGCGACTGCGTCGGTCACTATTCTGCTGTTTAGTTTTCTTTGTTTGAACAGTAGAAAATTAATGTAATAATTCGTTGGCTCACAATTCGACCAATCAGAAATCGAGTTGAATAATTTTGGTACAAATGGGACCGATTTTTCATTTTGGTACAAATGACCGTTGGTACAAATGGGACGTCACCTGTCAAGAGAACTATGAACTTCAAAAACAGTAGTCTCAATTAGCGGCTGATTTAAGCGTCGAATATAAGAACAGAATACTAAAACGGGGGCTATTCTCATGCGCGAAGGACCGAATGCGCGAAAAAACTTAGGAGCGATTGACCGAAAATAAAATTAGCCGAAAGTCAAATTTTGAAAAGATTCAATTGCCATTCAATTAAATGAAGCAATATTTCGCTTCTTTTATAACGAAACCCTTGACATATGAAATTTGTTCCAATTCGGCGGCGGTCAGTGACAATTTGAAAATTTTGCATATTTCTGCTGTTTTTATATTCGGCCAATATCAATATTTTAGTCCCTGGAAACGTTTACTTTCTTTGCAAATTATAGATTACTGAAATCTGATTGGCTGATTGTATTTTCGCGCATTCGGTCCTTCGCGCATACGGGATTCCACCTATTAAAACGGTCGCTACTTCAAGCGTTCGTTGATACCAATCGTGTCGAATGTCAAGCGTTTTGAATAGCTAATTGATTTGAAAAGGGTAGTCTTCTAAAAAAAAAACCTGCCCGCGAATTCGCGAACATCTATAAAATTGAAATATACAAAGTGGTTTTAAAAGTTGTTGGCATTTTTTGTAACGAAGATATCCGGTTGCTGTGAAGGTAGCATCAAATGCTCTGACCACTGAGCTTAGTGAAAAAAAAAATCAAAATATAAAATTTCTTTTGTTTCTACCTGTTTTTAAGAAAAAGAGACTGAGTTAACTAAAAACTGTTAGACTGAGATTAAGAAACTTCTCAAGTACTGTAAAGAATTGAGTTAACTTGTCTCATTTTCAGCGTCATCAATTTCGTCTGAAAATTGATCTATAAATTAACAAATGCAGACCAAAATTTCTTGCCATAACGTTGAATTGTTTATTATGAATTATACCTTACTTCTTTGAGGGCGTCAAAATGCGCAGGAAAAAACATTCTATGCTATAATTCTTTCCCTTCACTTCGACAGTGGTCGGAAGAAAAAGTAGAATCCAATGCTGATTCCAAAGCTATGCCTTTTCTTACGTTCAGCTCAGAAACTAACTTAAACAATTTGATAGTTTTCGAAATTATCAGGGCTAAAATTATTCAAAATTATATCACAATTTTAGGATGGAAAAATTTTTGTTTTGGCTCGTTATGGTTTTTGCTTACTGCTTTTGCTCTTGAAATCAGGTATCAAAACATGAACGTCATATGTGGTCGAGTGCTAAGAAAGATTATAAGCCCTGTGCGCTCGTTTACCTTGATTTTTGAAAATTGCCTAAACTTTTGCCAGTGTCGAGAAAACAGTTTCAAATTATGTTTATAGCCCAACAGCGAGTAAAGTGAGCAAGTAGTGCAAAAATTTGAATATCCAACTGCTGTGGTCGCTTTGAATGATAGATTGTGAGAAGCCTTTAATCGGCAATATTTGACAATTGAAGGCTTCTAACAGTATCTATTATATAGTTAAATGCGGGCTTCACTATCTCGCCATGTGTATACTTTTTCAAAGTATTGTTTTTGCATGTTCAACGAAAGAATTTTTTCACGTTTAAGGTATATCGTACATTGCAATGGTTAAGAATTTTTTCGATTTTCCAGTTTGATGTCAAGGATTAATTCATCAATTTTGACATTAGCAACCATATGGTAGGATGCTATAAGGATTCCCTAGGGGTTATGAATTTGGCCTCCATATACAAATAACAAAATCCTTTCAGTTTACGAGATAAGGCAATTTTCGAAAAACCATGCACTTGAACAAATTCTCAAAGTTTGATATTCTCAACACTGTAGTTGGGTGCTGCCAGTGTACCCTCAGCGATTGCAAATCTCGCCCCAAATCTCTTTTCCCAAATCCTTGTAGTTTTCGAGATATGGCATTTCTTAAGATTTTTTTCAAAAAAATCAAAAAAAAGTTTTAGGAAACAAATTTTACTTTTTGTCTTCAACTCTCGAAATACCCGTTTTTGTAGTCGGGGCTGTCAGAATACTCTCAGGGCTTCAGGGGTTGCGAATCTTGTCTCCAACTATGACTGCTCAAATCCTTGTAGTTTTCGAGATATGACGTGTTTTATGATTTCTATAATTTTTCAGAAAACTTAGGTTTGAAAAATTCAAAAATTTGAAATTTTCAATCTTGAAGTTTTGGACTGCAAAGGTGCAATCACGAACTACAAGTTGCAAATTTTGCGTCCAAATGCGACTGCTCAAGTGCTCTTAGTTTCCGAGATGTGACGTTTGTTATATCTTTTTTTCTCAAAAATGTTCAAAGAACTTAGTTATAAATAGTTTTACAAAGTCTGAATTTCACATCTCTACATTGAGGCTCTTCCATTGCACTTTCAGGAGTTACTAATTTTACCTCCAATTATGACGGAACAAATTCTTATAGTTTCCGGGATGTGACGTTTTATGTGATTTTTTCAAAAATTTCAGAAAACTAGTTTTTTTTTTCAATTTTTGAAGCTCCTAATCCAGTAGTTGGGGCTGTCAAAGTACTCTCTGGAGCTGCTAATCCTGCCTCTAAAAATGACTGCTGAAATCTTTTTCTAAATGAGATATGACGTTTCTTATGTTTTTTTTTTTTCAAAAAAGTTCTTAGAAAGCTTAAGTTTGAAGTATCTCAAAAATTGAATTTCCCAGCGTTGTAGTGTTTGGCACTGCGAGAGTACTCTCAAGATTTGCAAATTTTACTTTCCAATGGGACTGCTCATTGCTTTTAGTTTCCTTGATGCGACGTTTTTTGATGTCATTTTAAACAAGCAAAGCATTATGAATTTTCTTATAGTATGAATTTTCTTTTTTTTTCCAACCTAAGTCGCAAATATTGTTTCGACGCAAATTTTGTCGCTATAAAGTGTGTTCATTTTGATCAAAAACCAGCTGTTAGGTACAGCCAATACTAAGGGTATTAACACAGACTATTTTTGTTCCAGCTTTCGTAAAGAGTAACGGAATATTTGTGCTCGGGGTGGGTTTTTTTTTTCTTCAGGCAAATTTCGACTTTTTAACTAGCCATTTTTGACGGAGTTTTTTTAAAATCTTTCAAAATGTATTGTTTTCTTGGGCTTAAACTTGAAACAGATAATTTACCTGTGATCATTTTTTGTAAAGTTTTTGCGGTTCGAAGTGTGCCAATTTCGGACAATTAACGCGCGAGATATTCCGCGCTATTAACGCAAAAGCCCAGATTTAATCCGTCTTAGAAATCGTTCCAAATTAGTTGAATGAAACTTATTTGCCATAATTTATTTGTTATCAGGAGCGAAATTTATCTTTTTGTTTTTTATATGGCGTGAGGGGATGATTTTCACAAAAAGTCTCATATAAAAAAGAATTTCTTTTTTTTATTACATTTAATTTTTTCCTGTTATTACTGCTCCAGAGACTGCTCTATAAATTGGGACTTGTTAGTTGGTTTTTTTTCAAATTGACTGGTTATGCTAATGCGTCATAATTGGCGTGCGTCACTTAAGAAATTTTGTGTAGACTCAACGTTTTACTCTTTCAGTTTTTCCCCGTAGCGTTATCGGTCATGTTTTTGCGTGTGTATGCGAAGTGCAACTTCGCCTCTATTTACGCAAGCAAAGCTTGTGCTATAATATGAATTATCTTTTTTTACCAACCTAAGTCGCAAATATTGTTGCGACGCAAATATTGTTGCGATAAATGGTGTTCATTTTGAAAGTGTTCATTTTGGTCAATAACCAGCTTTTAAGTACAGCCAATGCTAAAGATATTAACAGTGTCTATTATTGTTCCAACTTTCGTAACGAAGGTAACGGAATATTTGTGCTCGGGGTTGTTTTTTTTTTTCAGACAAATTTTGACTTTTAACTAGCTATTTTTGACGGAATATTTTATTATTTTTCGAATAGTATTGTTGTCTTGGGCTTAAATTTTTAAGTATATTTAACCTGTGATCATTTTTTGTAAAGTTATGGGAGTTTAATGAATGCCATTTTGGCCAATTTCGGACAATTAACGCGCGATATACTCCGCGCTACTAACGCGTGAGCGGAAATTTAATCCGTCTTAGAAATCGTTCCAAATGGGTTGAATGAAGCTTTTTTGCCATAATTGATTTGTTACTAGGTGCAAAACTCATCATTTTGATTTTTATGTGGCGTGTCGGGTAATGATTTTCACAAAAAATCTCAAATAATTTTTTTTTTTTCATTTTTATTACATTTGATTTTTTCATATTATTACTTTTCCCTTGACTGCTCTATAAATTGAGGCAAGTTAGTTGGTAATTTTTTTTCAATTTGACTTGTACTGCTAATGCGTCATAATTGGCGTGCGTCACTTAAGAAACTTTGTGTAGAATCAAAATTTTACTCATTCAGTTTTTCCCAGCAGCGTTATCGGTCATATTTTTGTTTGTGTATGCGAAGTGCAACTTCGCCTCTGTGTGAAATATTTTTAAAAACTCCACAGAATTTTATGATTTTTCAAAATTTAATTAAAAAAAGCTTGAATAAAACTTTTTTTTACAAAATTTGAAATTACGATTCATGGAATTGGGTGCTATCAGAGTACACCCAAAGGATGCAGATCTTATTTCCAATATCTTCAGTTTTTATATTCTGTTAAAAACTCGAAGCAACGGAGGTGCGTTACACGCTAGTATCATTTCAAGACATCATTAATAGCTAATTAATTTCAAAAGAAAGATTTAGTTCAGCTCTGTAAAGTGGAAGGCAAACTCCGCTATCGAACAGCAAAAGTGTGAACGTCACGAAAAACGTGGTCGATTTCCTTTCAAAAGTGGAATTTAAGTTTCAGATTTCACAGCGAAATACCTATTGATCCAGTTTTATCAAACTAGGTCAATTTTTAATCAAAAAATGCCAAGCATAAATGAATCTAGAAATAAATCTAGAGCTCTAAGGGCATCAATTTTTGTTTGAAATTCTAAAGCTGAGATTTTTTCAGAAAAAAAACAGGCCAGTATTTTCATCTCAAAAAATTTGGAACCAGAATTTTTAAAATAACTTTTCTATAGATTTCTATTCGTTATACTTCCCATAGCAAGTGCCTAGCTATTTATTGTTATTGTAGGCTGTTATATGCATTCTTTTTGTTCCCAACTGGTTCAAAATTCTGCTTCACTCCCTGTTTTGTTTTTAACTTCATTCGATCAAAATTATCAGCATATAGATTTCAGTGATTTCTGAGGAATCTGTAAAAAATTAGTTTAACTCCATGTTTTGATTTTAACTTCGTTCGATCAAAAATATCAGCAAATAGATTTCAGTGATTTCAGAGGAATCTGTAAAAAAAAATTAGTTAAAAAATTAGTAAAAAATTAGCTTAAACTGAGTTCCATTGAAATGTCAGAAGTTTTCGATCTCGACAGATTTTTACAATAAATTAACTACTTAGTAAATCTCGTATCACTTTGCATAATAGAGAACTTTTTCTTATTCCAATTCTTAACTATTGTTGTACATCTGTCTTCATAATAATGAGTTTTTCTTTTAACTATGAGTGCCCACGTTTTATGTTGTAGCAGTAAATTTATAGGAGGAGATAACGAGGAGAGTTATGCAAGGAGTAGCTTCTCAATTCTCAGGAGAATTGAGAAATTACTCTTTCAACCCAATTGCATTCAACTCGACTGGTTTAAAAAGGTTGAACAAAAAATTGCAAGAGGGGTAAAAGTTTCAGATGTTGAACAACCACACATGTCTGTCCTCTGCACTTTCATGACTAAAAAAATAATATGCTTCATTTTGTTATTGCTGAGATAAATCAAATATTCCGATTCAATTGAGTCTTAATAGCAAAACTGGTCAAGAAATAGGATGCTTACTATAAAGTACATAGCTCAGTATAAATATCTTTCTAGGAGTGCGTCTATTTGCGTGAGTTGTGTGTTGGCTCTGCAGTAGTTTCGTCATCTTCATAGCTCTCTTCATCCTCCTCTTCATCTTCTCCGTCCTCTGTCGAGTATTCATCGCCTTCCTCCTCATTGTCTTCATCCTCCCCTCCACGTCTCTTTTCTGAGGCTGACGCAGCAGCATTTGACCTACTTGTGACGTTACTCATCTCACTGCTGTCTTCTGTCGTTAGAAGAACACCGGGAGGTCTACAAATTGGTAAACACAGACTAATATTAGTAACAACTCGAGGCTCTTTAACCGTTTCCACTAGCCTGCGATTTTGAAAATGTAAAATTTTTGTTCAAAATTGTGTAACATTGATCCAACTTGATCAGAGCCATTGCTTAAACCGTGGACTTGGTCTTTATGACAGGTGGAGTGGAAGTGCTGAAATGCGAATTCGAAGCTCATAACTTCTCATTTCGTTAATGTTTATCTCTGTGAATCATGTGTTTTCTCATATTCTCTTTTTTCACTTAGACACCATTTTTCTTTTAAAAAACACATCGAATTTTGAAACATTATGCTTCTAAAACATGAAATAGAAATATTTACCGGATAGATTGGCGAAATTCTTCCAAGTCCTGTTCAACATCAAAGACGTCTACTGCCCTGTACATACTCGTGTATATCTCCAGTGCTTTTGCGTGGAACATCATTTCAATGTGAACAAAATCGTGTAATATCTGCCGCATGTCTGCCACTCGGCGCTCCTCGAAGGTATGACATCCCTGGTCTAGAACCTTGGCATGCTTGTCTGCCTCGGCCTTAGTCTTTCGCAAGTCACTCTGGGCTTTGCTGACTGAATTGATGTTCTGCTCCTTAGTGCCAAGCTGCTCCACTTTCTTGTGCTGATTCTTTTCTTGTTTGTAAGCATTCAAAGTCGCTTTTAAGTCGTTTTTAGCCTGCTTGCAGTGCTTCTTGTAATCTTGAAGAGGTTGAACGACCTAAAAAAGCAGCATTTAAATCCCTATCTGTACTTTCTAAAAAGCTGTAGTTCAAATATTTCTTTTCAAAATGCTGCATAGAGGCGCGAATTTAGAGGACAGAGCTTTTTTGGCTAACTGAAAATTTTCCAGTGAAAAAAATCTATTTTTTATATTTTAATTTTTTGTTGAGACGGTTTTGCTAGTGATTTAACTGCACAGCACGGATTTTCTAGTGAATTATCTAAATCTCCTTATATGCGGGTTTCATTATTTCGCCATGCTTAAGTTTTTCAACGTAGTGCTGAAATGAATTTAAAATGACCATTCATAGAGAACAAAAATTGAAAACTCAAATGTGTTTTTCTCAAATTGGGTTAAGATAAGACAAAAAGTGAAGAAAACAAAAGTTGCTTGAAGTTTCATCAAAAATAATATGGTGCAATTTTCCCCCAACATTCTTAATCACAATTTTACTTCAAATTTGGGTCAATTTGGCTTTTTTAATTAATCAAAAATTACGCTGAAGCTAACGAGTTAATTAATAAGAGAGTTATATTAACAGAAACCTCTTACACAGTTCAACAAATTTCTAGAAAAACAAAACTTCCAAAAAGTGGCGTAAAGTGTTTAAATTTTGCCAGAGATTTTGATTTTTATACAGTCAAAAGACCTTTTTGGCTATACACCATAAATATATACAGATTTTTCGAAGCTGTAATCTTCTAGAATTTTATTGAGCTCTGTAAGAGGCTTCTGTTGATATAACTTTCCCTCAGTTAACTTGGTAGTTTCAGCGTAATTCTTGCTAACTAAAAAGAACCAGAACAACCCTGTCAGGTCAAAATTTGGAAGAATTTCGGGGAAAAAATTGCACCATATTAATTCTGGTGAAATTCTAGGCAACTTTTATCCTGTTGACTTTTTTCCTAATCTTAACCCGATTGAAAAAAAACACGATTGAAACTTCAATTTTTGTTCGTTTTGTCCGAATAATTTTAATCTGCATTATATTATTAATGCATGCTTAACAGAAAAATTTTTTTCACTTGTAAGCTTTGTACATTGCAATGGTTACGAAATTTTTTTGGTTTTACAGTTTAAATTTAGTGTTGATTTTGTCGATTTTGAAATTAGCACCTCAATACTGGGAAGTTGTTAAGATTTTCCAGAAGTTTCGAATCTTGTCTTTACATATGACTCCTCAAATCCTTAAAGTTATTGAGATATGATTTTTTTTTGCCAGAGAGCTTAGATTCACGGTCAGATAACTTAGATTTGAGTTTTAAGAAAAAAAAGGAAAACTCTCAACTCTTTAGTTAAGTAATTATGAGGGTACTCTCAAGAGTTGCATTCAAGTTTCACTGCTCAATTGCATTTAATTTTCAAGATGTAGAGTTTTTAATGTTTTTTTAAAGGTCTTCAAAGAATTTGGTTAAATAAATTTAAAAAAACTTCTTTAAAATTAAATTATCATCTCTATAGTGAGGCGATGTCTGGGTACTCTCAGAGATTGCAAATTTTGCTTCCCATATGAGTGCTCGAATAAACTCTTGTAGTTTTCGGGATGAGAAGTTATTTGTGATTTTTTCATTTTTAACAAAAAAAATTTTTACTTTAAGTTTTTTAAATTGTTTGAAAAAATCATAAGTAAATTCTCATTCCGAAAACTTCAACAATTTATTTGAGCACTTATATGGGAAGCAACATTTGCAATCTCTGAGAGTACCCTATCCAATCATGTAGTTGGGTACTGTAATTTTTTTAATTCTTGCGTTCAAATCTTGGCGTTTTAAAACAATTTTTTTTTTAATTTTAAGAAAATTTATAATTTAAAAATTTGAAGTTCCCAACCCTGTAGTTGGGTGCTGTCAGGTTATTTTCAGGGGCTGCAATTCTTGCCTTCTAATGTGACAGCTCTCCAATGATTTTGGTTTCAGAGACATGGCATTTTTTTATGATTTCTCGAAAGGTTTTTAAAACTGAGATAAAAAGTTTCTTAAAAGAAAAATTGAATTTCCCAACCAGAGTTTTGCCAGTGTAGTCTCAAGGATTGAAATTTTTTTCTCTAATTATGACTGTTAAAATTGTTCTGACTTTCCAAGTTGATTTTAAAAAAGCCTTACGAATTGCTTGAATTGTGTGATCTCAGGGTACTCTCAGAGGTTGCACTTTTTCCATCCAAGTTTGACAATCATCTTTTTTTTTCCAATATAAGCCATACTTTCAAAAGAGTTATTCTGAAAAAATTCAACAAATTTTCAACGCTATGATGGGGTGCTGTTAAGTTACTCTCAGAAATTTCATACCCGGTCTCCAATTATGACTGCTCATTTTATTTCACTTTTTTAAATATGAAGTTTATACGATAATTCAAAAAATTTTATAAGTTAACTTTCAAAAAATAACGTTTTTCAAAAAATTAAATTTTTCGAAGCATTAATTGGGAGACGAACTACCAGCGGTTGCGAATGTCGCCTCTATTCTGAAATTTTTGCTCAAAATGTTTGAATTTTTAAAATTCCCATGTCTTATGATTATTCAATATTTTTAAATTAATTAAGGCTGAAACTTAAAAAATTAATATTTTTACTTACACTGTGTTTATCTATTGATTGCAAAAATGTTTTACGTACAAGCTTCTGAAAAAAAAACAAATTAAGTTAAGCAAGAGTTTCTTTCATGAAGTAAGTTGATCAGCTTTTTTGAACACCACATGAATTGATTTGAAAAGCCTTTAACACCACTGTCATAGAATTGATTTGAAAAGCCTTTAACACCACTGTCATAATTTTTTCTTTTGCAAATGATGCGAAGTTCCGCTTTTTCTTTGTACAATCTCTGTACTAATACAATTCTAAATTTAAGTCAGAGTGAGCCCCAATGTTGAAGGATGTTTCTCATTTTTTTTTTGTCGGTTTTTGATAGCCATAAAACTTAAACTTTCACAAAAAAACGCTCATTTCATTTATTTGAAAACTATTTTACTCGAGAAAAGAAAAGAGTCGCTCATGCGCAATTATATTGTGGGTTTTTTTATCAGGCAACTGCTAATAGAAAAATTCAAAAAATTAACCGTTATTCAAAGAAGAATTATGTGACAATAGCTTATGTTATTTGAAATTCAAAAACAAATCAATTTTGGAAAAAAAACTTTTCCAGCGGAAAAAAGTAGCAAGGGCATTGTCATTATTTTGTAGTACCGGCTTGAATTCCACACACGAAAAATTTATAGCCAAATACAAAAACATAAGGTTTTTGTTAATAGTTTTGAGTGAACTATGAACTATGATCTCAATTAAAAATTTCTCACATGCAAGTGCCTGTGAGATTTCTTTCCCCCAACCAATGGGGTTTTGTGTGTTGGAAAACTGTTGGTTATTGTGTTTTCGGAGTAAACACAAAAAAATTTTACCAAAACTCGAAAAATAATAAAATTTTTAATGTATGGAAAAAGGCTTGTCATATGATTTCCATTTATGAAAAAAAAATTTATCGCAGAGTTTTTTTTACAAGTTTCTGTGGGTATGCAACTGTAAAAAATTGTATGACAAGCATTATGAAAACTAAATAAAAAGCATTTTCGGTCAATCTGGTTAATATACAATTTTTTGACGCAAATAATTTTATTAACAAAATCGGCTCCATTCCAGTTTCCCACCCCCTCGTAAAATTACAAAACAAAGCTGTTCATAAATTGTTCACACGGTAATTTGCATGTTAGAAATGTTGTAGAAATTTGTTCACCTGTTCACGCTGACAAGTTTCAATGCAGTTTATAACATCAAAAGTCATTTTTAATAGATTTTGATTAATTGGATTTCAGAAAAAATCAAAGGGGGGGACTGGAAAAGAGCCCAAAAATCGAACTTGAAATTTTGCGCTCTGATGTGCTCAATTTTATGCAAAAATGCAATTTGATAATAAGTGTAGTTCATGCTCAGCTGAAAGTATTACGAGGCCAAGCTGTGCTTTTAAGTCAATTGTAAGCAGATTCCGCATCAAAGACACTCGCTTTGATCTTTTTTGTTTTTTCGTTATTTTTTATCGTTTCGACAAAATTTTAACATGTTTAAAGACTTGTACCTGGATTCCAGAAAAATACAAACACCAAATTGTGCCCAGTTTGACCTGGTAATGATGCTGTTAGTCTCAAATTATTTTTTTCACGTTCAAAAAGTTCATCCGCTTGAATGGTTTCGGGTTCTTTTTTTCTTGACTTTTTTCGATAACTAGACTTTTTTCCCACGAACAACTTCCTTCACTTTTTGCCGACATGCTCAATTCTGGCGTGCTCAAATGCTGATATGTTCAATATCTTCAAATAAAACTACTTTTTTGTTCATTTGAGGTAGAATTTGGATTTCATGTTTTTGTCCTGATTTTTTCGGATGACTTTCAGTTTTTTTTTCAAATGCTATCTATATTATCTGTTACGCTTTTCAAGCAGTTGTTTTCCAAAATTAAAGTTTTTAGCAAAAAGTTTTAGTTTTTCAATAAAAAGTTATCAAAAGTTATAATTGCCGCTCGGTCATTGATTCTCAATGTTTTTAAGGCTTTTTCTGATCATTGCTCAAGGCAAAGGTGTAAAACTTTGTAGATGGAATTTTTGATTTTTTTTTTCAAGTTGGTTTTTCAGCTTAATTTTTTTGAAATAAGTCTTCCTTGATTTTTCAAGATCATTCAATATCTTGTAATGCAGTGTTTTAATAATGAGAGAGGTCTAAAGTGGGACGTACTTTGTGTTCCAATCGCTCTATCTCTGTTTGTCTGTAGTCTTGTATCAGGGACAGGAACTGAGCCGTCTGCTGCAGCGACTGCTTGCCCGTCTTGTGCTCGTGGTCTGCTGCATGTAGAAGGTCCTCTGCCAAAGTATCTCCTTTGTCTCTCAATCGAGCTGTTTTCCGTGCAAATCCGGAAAAATCTTCGCACAGCTTTCCGAGGTCTTTACAAGGATGTTTTCAAGCTCATTTTTGAATCGATTTATCCCCCAATAGATTTATTAACCCAATTTAAAATCTTAGCCTCACATAAAAAAAGGCGGCTATTTTGTATTTTAATCAGGGCGTGGTAAGCTGCAGCCTGTTTTCTACTTTCTCAGGCTCCTTTTTACTTCCATCTATTTGATTTTTAATTTTGTTCCTATATTGTTGTTCCCACATGTAAATAGAACGTATGGTAAGCAAACGAATTATTCCGAACATATTTTGGCATGATGTCTTACATTCTAACACAGAACGTATCCAATTTTTTGTTGACGAAGAAGCCGGATCTCTAACCCCTTCCTTTCATCAGTACTTACAAAAAAAGCTTCAATTCAGAAACACTTTTTTAAAATATAAAGATTCAAAAACTTGTATAAAAACCTTAAAATAAGTTTGAAAACTACCCTTTTTCACATTCATTGATGCGTTTCTCAACATCTGACAGTTGTTTTTCTCTGGTCAGGAAACCGCCGGAACCCGCTGTAGACATGCCAGTAGTGTTGCCGGTATTCATCGTAAAACAAAACGGTAACTGCCAATCAAAATTAATATAAAGAGTTTTCACTTCGCTTTTCAGAGCACAGTTTTATTGCATTCGATCTATAATTTTGGTTTAAAGTACTTGGCTTATGTGAAGGTACACTCAAATGAATGCACGTGCGCTCTGTTTTTATTTTAATTTGTGTGTCTTTTTTTTCAGTCGATCTAAATTTTATTTGCATGAATGTATGTAAAAATGTAAAAAAAAACCTTCTATGACTAAAGATGAATTAAAATGTGGTGCTTAGCTGGAGCTCGGTCACCGGTTATGGTATGTTAAAGATGAGGTGTGCTATCAAACTTCGAAGAGCTGTATATTTTGTTACGCTCTTAATAATTTATAGTTTATAGAATTCTATCGTTTAAATTTAGCTGTTCTGAAGGCTCGTTTTAAGTCCCAGTTTCTTCAATTGAAAAAAAAATGCGCGGACAGGAACTCTTTAATTTTGTGAAAAGTTAGGGAACAAATTAGTTATATTGACAAATTATTTCAAATTGAAAAACTTATTTTTATTTTTTGGCTAGTCTGGAAAAAGTGACTAGCAAGATTATCACAAAAATTATCTTTTTTTTTAAAATGGTGTTATTATTTGGACTGCTAAAAAGTGATTTATTCTTCATTAAACTATACAACCATTAAAATAGAACAATCGCATTAAAATAAGCAAGTAGCCTTGGCGTTAAATTACAAAATAACCTTTTTTACATCGCCATTATATTCGGCGATAACTTTTGTTAATATGCTGTGGGAATAAGGCTCTAAGGTAACGATCAAAATAAGCATTTAGTTAATTTTTTACGGACGAAACCTTGAGAGGCTGGGACCTAAGAAGACCCTTTTTGGAACCCTATAGAATAGTAATAGTGATGGGGGAGCAAGATGAAGGGTTAAAGATACGACTGATGGATCAGCATGCCATCCCTGAGGAGGAACAACAACGGGTGCTGCACATGTTGAAACAACACAATATCTCAGACGACCACTTCAAATTCTACCTCAGCTCATTCAAGGTGCGCAGGCTTTTGTTACCCTTGCGATCAGTAAGTGTATTGCAATCGGTACTAAACTTTTCCCCCATCTGTTCTAGAGGTAGCACATTTTCTTGAGACGGCTAAGGCTTGCGCTTCGGATCCTGCCAGAACCTGTTTTTTTTTTTGCAAACTGAACTTTTTCGGCGATTTTAAATTTTTGTCTGTCTGCTTATTTTTACCGGCTTAGTTCCCGCAGAAACAACTTTTTTGGAAATTCGACTTCTTTTGAGCATTCTGAAAGCTTTTTTTTCCGGAAACTTTAGTTTTTTTTGCAATTTTTCAAAGTTTTTATGTCAAATAGATTTTCTTTTTTTGATTTGATGCGAAGCTCAGCTTCGCCTCTGGGTTCAAATAAAGTTTTTGTTTTTTTACCGGTTCACATCCATCTCGTAGGATTACAAAATAAAATTGTTCAAATCTGTAGATTTGTCACACTGGCTTATTTTTGAATGCAATCTTATTTCACAAATCAATTTGGGAAGTTGCATACCAGCAAAAATCAATGGCTGCAATAGTGAGCCCAAAAGTTAATTAGGTTTCCAATTATATATGCACATGAATAAGTTCAGTCAGACAAATCAGCTGTTTTTATTGTTATTCTTTTTTATTTGAATGCAGAAAAAGTTCCCATCAGCCCGAGGATGCTAAAATTCTTATACAGAACACCAGCTTGCTTCTAGAACAAATATTTCGGGGGTTGAGAAATTAGACGATAAGCAAATTAGACGGAGGTACTTAAAAGGAAATTAAACGGTTTTGCAAAACTGCAATTGTGAGAAAATAGACGAAAGTGAGAGAAATTAACTTTGTTTGCACACAAATTTCGTTAGAAAAATAAAATTGTTTGTAGACAACAGTTCAATTTCGGTGACCGGAAACTTTACAAGTCAATCATGCATAATTTATTCAATTCAAAACTCTAATATTCAGATTTCACATTTTATGTTCTTTTAAACTAATTGTTTTGATAGGTATTGACATTTTATGTTCTTTTTGTATTTGTGAAACTTGACTCTTAAGAAAAAATGTTGTTGGCCTTTTCCTTTTCATAGCTTTTTCGTCTAAAAAGCCAGATATGCAAAAAATAAATTCCGTCTAATTTCGTTTTTGTAGTATCTGTCTAATTTGCTTATCGTCTAATTTCCTAGGCCCCAAATATTTCTAGAGGGGGGGGGGGGGCGTTCAACAGTGCCGAAGTACAACAGTGCCGAGAAAGGCGGGAAAACTTCAGAATAATTTCAACGCATTGTCTAAAAAACGAGAAATTACTGACGCTAATTATCAAAGAAAACCACTCCAATTTCGGCGCCAAAAATGTCTGCAACTGCAAATTAAACGACTATTTTGGCGCCAAAACGTCTAAATTGCAAACTTTCTCTCCCAAAACTTTTAATTGCCACTTGAGATTGTAAACGTTTGCCGTTTAATTTTTGGGTGCGTATTCATAGGTTCCAAAATGAAAAAGCAGTCCCATAGGTTCCAAAATAAAATAGCAGTAGCATAAGTTCCAAATTTTTTCAATTGGTCAAAAGACTAAATTAACCGAGTCTCGGTTTAAGGTCGCCGGTGGGCGCGCTACGCGCGCGTCGCCGCTTTGCGGCGATAACCGGCTCTAAATTTCGTATAGAGTCCTACCCTTTGGTGGCAAGCTCGCAACACGTTGGCGCGGCTGCGGCAGTCACTATTCTGCAGCTTGAGTTTAAGCTGGTTGAACAGTAAACAATCAATCCATAAATTCGCTGGCTCAAATTTCAACCAATCAGAATTCAAGAAGATAAATTTTGGAACTTATGCGACTGATTTTTTATTTTGGAACCTATGAATATTGGAACCTATGGGACTTCACCAATTTTTGATTGCCGCTTTTAATATGTGGAAATTTGTTCATATTTTCGGCACAGCTGAACAAAGTTTTCATTTTCGGCACTGTTGAACAAAGTTTTCATTTTCGGCACTGTTGTACTTCGGCACTGTTGTACTGCCCCTTCTAGAGCAAATAAGATCCACGCTGCACTTTTAAAAAATGAAATCAATTTACCACATTTCTGTGTTTTCTGATCCTTTATTATGGTCCGGTACGTTTGATTCCTAGCACCACAAGAAATATGAATACTGCTGCGTACAATTTTTGGTAATCTGATCGAGTCCTTCAAAAGTAGGTGACCAATGTGTTTGAAATCATCTCAGCTGCCCATTTCTGTATTAGGATGCCTCGAAGCTCAAGGATCCTGACTTAGGCAAACAGCAACTGTTCAGTTGACTTTGTATCCCTGTTATCTACTCTATCTGTGGCCTTTTTTCAGTTCTTCGACAGAGACCCAGAGGATAATACTATCAAAAATGATGAGCTAGTGGATGCTCTCCGCTGCTTCGGACTCAACCCCTCCGGACAGGATGTGCAGCAGCTGCTAATCGAATTCGACACCAACAGTAAGCCAGAGTCATCAAGTAGTGTGTCTGCTGGAAGCCACAGCACTCACCATAAGAGTAAGGATATGAAACAGGGTTCACTGACCTCCCTTATGATATTTAACAGTTCTGCACCCGCTGTATTGCACTTTAATACGCATCATTTTTCAACAAAAATAACCCGTCTGAACTGGATTGTTTTTAGTATATATCTGAGTTAGGACCGAGGTGGTTAACTCATAGAGTAATTTCGGATAGGGTACACCGTCTGCTCGTCACGCTATCTTATTTTCGGCCGGATAGATTCGTGCAACTTCTTAGTCTAATACCGATCCTAATCTTACTCTTATACTATCTAGTCTCAGGTTGTTTAACTAGTCTCTGCTAGGCTCAATAGATCTAGGGTATACTGGTTTATTGCGGCTGCTAAAGTCTTCTTGGAGAGTCCAAATAATTTCTAAGTTAAATTCAAATCTCTCTGGTGCTGAAATTACAAGTAATTTCAGCACTTACAAATAAGTGGGTTGTTAGTTAGATGGATCATGATTGGTTAATATTAAATACTTTACAGTGGTAAAATATCTAATTTATCCAATCATAAAATGTAGTTTAGATCAGGTTCCACCCATCCGGGTTTTACAGAGTTTTTTAGAATAGTCTTTCTGCAATTCAAAGGATGGATGATGGACGTTGGTATTTGGCGAACATCATATTTCTTCTGGGTTCTCTTGTTAGAGGAGTTCCAGGTTCAATCGTTGTGTCTTCTCATGACAACGACTGGGTTTTCGCAACAAACTCAAATCTGATTTCAGAATGGTTGGCTATGACAGGTTTTTCCGTTTCATGTACAGAACTTCTTTTGTGTTTGACCTTGTCTGGGAATGGCGTGGAGATTGTGCGTGGAGGGGATGCCTGGTTACTCGGATCTGTACGTATACTTGAGCATCGAGGTGGTCATTGGTCTAGTTCAATGAAGTCCTTTTCTGCGAAGTCAAGTCGTACTCTAAATCCTTTGAGTTGTGATTGTGGGCGGCATATTGATTGTGGTTGGCCATTCTTTTTCGAGTGTAGTGGGGTCATTTTGTCTTTGGATGTTCGTCTTTGGTGTTGTATGCTGATCTATATACTGCAAGGTATAATTTACATTTATAAAATTTTTATTAGTTTGGTGTTTTAATTATGATTTTGGTTAGTTGTTTTCAGAAAAGCTTTTTGTTTTAGTTCGGTTATTTTGAAGAGTTACTCACCCTTGAGTACCTCTTATTAAAAATAGAAGTGTGGTCACAAAGCGTGGATGTAGCGCGGTGGGTTAGGCCGGCTATAGAGCATGCTCAGGACGTCCTCTCTGGTGGGTTAGGCCAGGAGTGGGAGTATGATTTCGTGCGGTTTTTGTGAGAGGTCCTGTTATGTGATAACGTTTTATGTTGGGTTTATTGTGGTTTTTCTTATGTTTCGTTGGTTGTGTCCTTTTTTCAAAAATCAAATTGTTTTTGGTATGGGTTTGTCTTTCGACTTTTTTGTGTTTTATTATTTCTTTCTTAGACTTTATAATAGTCTTCAAAAGAATAAATTATCCAGTTTTAAACTGGGTTAATCCGGTTTGGGTACCGTTGGTTTCCTTTTCTTAGTCATGCTGTTATTTTATGATTTGTTGTGTTTAGTAAGCTGCATTGGTTAGTTTTGTTTAGTATATAATTCCTTTCCAACCGGGTTAAAGAAAAGTTTGAAACTTGTTATCGTGTGTTAGAGTTGTTGAGTGTGAAAACTTGAAACTGAAATTCATTATTTTAAACAATTCTTCGTGGGCGAGCTGAGCGAGTTTGGATAGAATTTTTGTGCGAGTGAATGAAAATATCAAAAGGTTAGTACTGCATTTTCGTTTTATCAATTCACTACATAGAATTCAATTTTACTGCTAGTTTTTGGGAAAAATTAAGTTACAAATTTTCATCATTATTAGATTTACTGCTTGTGGGGAAACAATTTATAAATTAATTTACTACATTGGTATGAATTTTATTTAAATTAGCTTGTGCAAAATATTAATAGAGTTTTGAACAATTTGAAGAAGTTTTCTATTTTTGATTTTTCTTTTGTGTATTTTGCAGATGATCGTGGGATGAAGACTAAAAATCTAAATAAGACATGGATAAAGAATGGTTAGTGTTTTGTTTTAAGTTTATTAGTTAAGAATATATATAAATTATACTTACCTGTTAGTCGTCGGGGAAAAAACCATGGGGGAAGATGTCGTGTATTATGTCGGAATTTGTTAGTAATTTTGCTAGTATGCGAATGATGTTTTTAGTTTGAAGCAGTGGCCAAAGCAATTGAAGTGCTTTAATGGTTTTTAGTTCTTCAGTGCCAACTGCAAACTCATAAGGTGTGTTTTGGATGAGATTATATAATTTGTGATTATATTTAGTGTTGTGGATGAATTCTAATATGGGGATTTCTATAGGTTGAACAAATTCATGTGGGATAAGGAAGGGTCTGGATTCTTCTGCGTTGAAGGTCTTTGTGATGGGACAAAAAATATACATTTGGGTTATGGGATCATAATTGCGAAGAATACCGTGAAGGTTAGTATCTTTGATGCAATATGTGAAATTAAGAAAAAATGGTGTAGTGTATTTAGAGTTAATAAATTGAAAACGATGGTGTGGTTGTCTTGATGGAGTGTGTAATTCAAAGTGATTTTGTATGAAGCGGTAATATGTATATGTGTGGGTTTGTTTAGTGTGTAACATAATGTCGTGTGAGCAGTGCAAATCTCGTTCATGTGGTGCAAGGAAATGAAAGGTTAGTGAAAATAATGGAAATTTTTCTTTAAAACTTTTGTAAGCTTGTGTGTCGGTTAGTGCTTCTGAAATGATGTGGTCAAAGTTGCGATCAAATATATTGAGTGTAAATACATATGGTGTTTTAATGAAGAATTTTTCTGTGATTTGTGGGTTAGCGAACCGATCATCATCTAAAAATTGGTCTTGGTTAGTTCGGATGATGTTATGATCGTAATATTCTAGCGTATATTCGTTAGCTCGGGGTGCAGTGTATGTTTTTAGTGACTTTTTATATCCGATGTAAGTAAATTGTCTATGTGTTAGTGGTGTAGTGAGTCGATATAGCATATTTTGATGTCTTTCAATATCGATGTGAGTATTAGATAAAGGTAGGCAAAGGGGGTTAGTAAAATGATAATATGATGTCCAATGGAGTGTAGGCATTAAAACGTGTTCGTCTACAAAATTACGCGTTTCGTTAGTGTCGTTAGGGGTGTTTAAAGTATATTGTGGAAATGAAGGTAAGGTGATTGCTAAAATTTCTCTCGTGTTAGTGTGATTTGGATGATTAATATATTCACGGGCTGTTCCTGGTTTTGTTGGAAATGGATGGTTTAGGAATTTTCTTTTGAAAGTGCGGTAAGCTCTACTAGTGTTAATTGATGATTCGGTGGATGTGGATGATGGTGCTAATGATGCGGTATAAGCTGAAGAGGGTGTAGGGGTAGGTGGGTTTGATGATTCTATGGTTGATGAAATCTGGTTTATAGTTGAGGTGTCAAGGTGGAAGGGTTGTTGTTGTAAGGTGATAAAATTATCTAGTTCTTGGGAGATTTGGGGGGTGTCTGGAGAATTGGATGATCGGTCTGAATGAAGTGAAGAGTAGGTTGGGGTAACTTGTGAAGCATAGGAGGGTGTAGAAATGGATGGGAGTGGGTTATTTGGTGGGATTGGTTCAAAAAAGGGGGTTTCGAAAAAACTGAGGGATTGGTTTGAAAATTATTGGATGGAGATGGTTCAGAGTCTGCAAATTCATCAGGGGTTTCAATATCTGGGTTATTGAGTTGTGAGATGGAGTATAAAACTGAGATGTGTGAATTAGTGTCTGAATTCATGCCTGATGTTATAGTATTGGTTGGAAAATCGGGTGGCGGGAAAGCAAAAAGTGGAATTATTGTAATTGGAGTGTTGAGGTTGGTTGGGTGGGAATTTGAGCGGTGTAGGGATCCAAGTTGTCGGCTCATCGTGGGCTAAAAAAATTGTTATTTTGAGACTGAAAAGCAGTTGTATGTGGTTGTTCTATAATTTGTTCATATGTATTTTCATCTAGTGAATTGTGTGTTACTATACGTTGAATGGGGCTTTGTGATATGGTTGGTCTGAAATTTGGATTATGTGTTATTGCTAAATTTCGAAAATTTCGTGGGACTAGTGATAATGGATGGTTATGTGATAGGGGTGGTAACTGTGGTGCTGTAGGTGTAATGTCTACATTGTTATGTTCTTCGTCATATGTGTTCTGTCTTGTTGCTATTTTTGTGTTGTATTCTTTTATTTGTGCGCCTAAAAGAAATTTGTTTATTGATGATGAAAAAATTCCAAAAAATCCTGCAAATAGGATGCGTGCTACACTTGCTTGTCTATTTACTTGTGTGTGTATAGCGCATGTATTATAGATTCCTTTTAAGAGTGAGAAAAGAAATCCTATAAAGTTAAACATTGCGTATAAAATATCTAATTTTTCTAAGATGTAATAGGGCCATCCTAGAAAATCAAGAATTTCATTTTTGAGTGTAACAAAGCTAAAAATATTTATAGGTGAGATATCTTGTGGTCGGTATTTTTCACCGTTGAGATATATATAGTCTTTAATGTCTTTAAAATATCCGCTATAATCTTGCGTATAAATATCTGCAAATCCTGCTGTTTCGGCAAGTTTGCGTAAGTTTTGGTCAATTGATTGTCTTTGTATAGTGTCCATTTGTGTTAATAATTCTTGGAATTGTTGTGTTCTAATGTGATGTTGTATATCGGATTTTGAATATATTCCAATTGATTGTAAGTCAATATTTGGGTTTCGAGCAATAGCTCTAATGCTTTCAGGTGAAAATTTTTTGAGTGATTGCATTAATGTGGGATATGGGGTAAGAAGGTAATATTTATCTTCATCAGGGTTCAGTTGTACTACATTGTGGCTATTTTCTGATCCACATGGGACTGCGGTATCCCAGAAATAGGTTCGTCTTGAAAGTGTGTCAACGAAATGTACTTTATTCTTATAAAAGATAGGGATTC